TGGTTATATTTGAGAATTAAGGATTCGATTATTATTTTAATCGATAATCTTATTATGTTTTTCTATTAGTAATAACTCCAAGTTTTAGTTCTTCGGGCCATCTTTCCAGAAATCTAAAAAAAGCACATAAATGTAAAATTAATCGAAAATTTTCTATAAGTTAATTCGGTGTCTAAATTGTCACAACAGTTTAACAAAAGTTATGTTACCAATATTTTGGGATGTAAGATTAATAATATAGTGATGCAGTTTTTAGTTAATATTTCCTAATTGGATCCCAAGTTTCCGTTTCCCAGTGGAATTGTGTTTGGGAAAAATTGCCATAAAGTCTATATTTCCTAATTCTAATATCCGTTTCCCAGTTGAACCCACTACTATATATGGCTAGACTTCTCTCTTCCCCGTCTGTCTCTTCAAGAATCACGAACCAACTTGTAGATGATTTTTTCAAGTCTGAAACTGGTGCGATTCTGATTTTTTGATGCCGATTCATTATTTTCATTCATCTTCAACAATGTTTAATAACGCGAAGGATGCTTTTCAATTCTGTATTTTTCCTAAAGATCTGTACTATAAGGTTACAAAGGTCGGAGAAGAATCAGTTACGTGCAATGATGATCATCGGCCACGACAAATCAATATAAAATTTTCTTACAAAACTATCTTTGATTTGATCGACCCCACATATAATGAATTATTTTCTCGGAATCAACAAGTTGTGGCAGAAATCAAAATTCGCAAAATTTCAAATTCTATTTGCATAGAGTATGACCAGTTCCTCGACTATAGCAAGGCTCAGGAAATCCTCCTCGAGGCTGTTAAGACTTGGCCTCTTCACAGTTATCAGAATCACTTATTTTTTGTCCAGACAGTATATTTTAGTTTAATGGAAATTGCTACAGGAATGTCTCCAACTCACAATCTGTTGCTTTTGCGTGTGGATGCATATCTTGTTATTCATCACTTTCTTGATAATGCGTCCGGGTTTCGTCAAGTACTTCAGGATTTCATAGCGGAAAGCAATGGTGTGGTTCCAGCTACTGATAATTCAATTAAATCCCTCAAGAGAAAGAGAATTCAAGATTATATTAATGATGGTGAAAGTTGCAGTATATGCCTCAATGAGTTTTCTCAAGGGTCTGAAGTGACATGCATGCCGTGCTCGCACTCCTTTCATTGCAATTGCATTGATAAATGGTTAAGGAAAAATCATACTTGTCCACTTTGCCGTTTTGAGATGACAATTAGTATAGATGCATCTACAAAATCTGCTTTATGTTAATGTAATTTTATTTTATATATCTTAGCAATGCCTTGTTGGATTCAACCGCAAATTGCTTGGATTTTGAAATCTAACGCAGGCAATAATATGTTATATGTTATGATTCTTTCGTTTTCTCCTTGCTGTTACTGCATTTTATTTTATCGCGTAGAAGGAAAATTCGAATATATGAATTAAGTGTTCCCTTCTTACCTGAGATTTTTATTGATTTTCTATTTTATTTCGTATGATTGAGCTTAAATATGTTTTAAGAAACGAATTCAAAAAATGAAATATAAGAGGGATTATATGCCTACAAGGTTTAAGGGAGACAATGAGGAATGCAGGTTTTGGTCCAAATTTTCGAATTATATTCCTTTTTTGCGAAAGAAAATATTGACGAAATTTTATTTTTACAAGTACTTTCTGGAAAACTTTCCATATCTAATTGGATGTTCTTTTTGTATTTCAATTTTGTGTTTTGAGTGTCCATTTTGAAATTGTTAAAAATGTTTTCTTTTTGATATTTTGAAAAATTGTTTTAAAAATACCCAAAACGCGTTTTGAAAATTTTGTATTGATTATAACTGAAAACATCCAAAACGATAAATTTGTAGTTTTGGGTTTTCTTTGTAAATTTTTAACTTGTTTTCAAAAACGCGTTTTCACTGTTTTGTAAAATCGAAAATAGAAAACGACTTGAAAATTGTAAAGAGAACCGGCCCTAATTTTTCAACTTGGATTGAACCCTTGTTGTTAGCAACAAAGTGAATATTTTAGTGATTAGTTGGTCGGCTTATTTTTTTTTCTAAAGTTTTAATTATTTAGCAGAGCATTAAAAAATTTAGTAATAGTCAGTTGTTTTGCGTATTATAGACACAAATCTTTCTATTTTTATTTTTTCAATTTCTGGAACATTTCAGTATAAAAATAGTATCCGTAATATTTTAAATTTTGTTAGATTATACCTGCAATACTAACTGGGACGGGAAAATTCTGTTGACTTATTCTTGCTTGCAAGGTTTTCGAACTATTTATTTCTTGTCATCATACGTCAAATGAAGTGTCTTTTTGACTTTTAATTCCTTTCGAACATACTACTCCGAAAAGTTCGTGTAAATTTATAAACGAACCCTAAACTCGAAATATAATTGTTGTTTTATATACCCTAAAACGATAAATATGCCAATTAAATTAAGATTAAAATTGAAATGATATCA